GGGGGAAATCATCTTAACAAAAAGATTTCGTGATGATTTACTATTGCAACTTCAGACAGGAAAATAAAAGAAGGAAAATTTAATCATCCCAATAAGCTTAACTGGCAGATCCAGTCCTGAAATATCTTCAAAATCTACCTCTAATGTGAACACACAATATGACAAAGTTTCATTCCAAAAATAGAAGTCATAAATTACACAGTAAACCCCGCCTTCAAACAACAAAAGAATTGTGGATATACACTGAACTTTTTTGAGGAAAATAAACAAAAAATACTATGTAACGAAAACCTCACACAACATAACTTCCAGCACCTTTTCTTTTCCTAATTTTTTCTTTGACACCTTATAACCTATAAATAACACCATCTATATATGACAGAACTACCCCAAACCCCTCCCCCACTTCTCCTCCATCCCATCACCCCGAAAGTAGAAAGACAAGACACTCTTCAATAGAATATGTCAAAATGGAAGACATTGCATCTCCATGGAAAATTTTGACACCCGACCACAAATAAAACAAGCACAAACCTGCAAAAAACACAAAATTATGAAAATTCTGAGCAAAATACCTTTAAAAAGACAAAGAAAATAGAAATAATTGTCCATTTATGACTTGTTCGAAGTATGGAACACTACACGTAAATGCCTACTAAAGTTCAGTGTAAGGAATTATGAGGTATTGAGGTTAAAGATGCATAATCAAGCTTGTTTTAAATCGCTATTACCTCTCAACTTGGCTATCAAGAGCCAACTTCAATTGGGTATTCAGAGGCAGAGACTAAATTAAGTGTGTAATTGTTTTGGGCGAAGTTTTAGGATAAAGGAGACAAATATGAGTAAGTTGTTTATACACGCATACAAAAAATGAAACATTTTTTTTATTGAAGTGAAGAAATCACACAAAAATAAAACATAAATATTATTTCTAAAAATGAAAGAAATCACCAGTAAGGTAGATGATAAAGGTAAAGATGAATAAGGAACTACGGATATATCAGGTTTCTTAAAGCATAAAGACAATTGAATTAAAATGACATGAATTGCCCGTTGAGATGGCATTGCGTGACATGTAATGTAGCATCTTTAGTTGCGAGGAAGAATGATAGCAATAGTCTGGATAAGACTATATAGTATATACCTGGAAGTGATCAGCCTAATTAGCTGCTCTTCCACCATGGATGAGTATCCAAAGAATAAGCTGATAAAGAAAACTGCTCTCCCATAAGGCTCTTTACATGTCAGCTCTGAGGTGCAATAGTTGCAAGGGCATTAGCATGTGCAGGTGAAAGATTACTCAAAAGAGGCTGCATTTGTTGACCATAAACTGAAATTAGGTGAGAAAATGCTCTTCCAACATTAGCCTTGACTTCTGGGGTTTCCACAGATGACATGGCAACCTGGGCAAAAACATTTACCAACTCTGGAACCAAAGATAGGATCTGCATATTCACAAGAGAACAAAGCAGAAGGAAAGAAGTGTCTAATGTTAAATTCCACAGAGGATGGAGACATAAGAAAACAAGAATGATAATTAATGTGACAGATAAGATGAGACACAAAATACCTGAGAGTTAGATGACAAAACAAGATGGTATATGCAACTGTAGACTGCCATGGATTCCTCGTGATCTTCTTTTAGAGGAAGAGCTTTCAAGAAAACAGGTAGCACCTAAAGAAAGTACAACATCAAATAACGCCCATACAAATAGAGGGAAACTTTCAAAACCAAAAACGATAAAGGTCAATCTGCATACCTGATTCAGTGGGATTGTCTCTGGATGGACCATTATCATCCTCGCCACCGCACCAGCAGCATTGTCTCTCACCGCATTATCTGGCTCAGATTCGCCAAATAATGGGTAAAGGCCCCGTAAGGCATCCCCATAATATCTAGAATAAAATGAATAAATTAGATATACGATGTACCAACGAAGAAGGCAGATGGTAAATAAATCAGTGGATGCAACCCCACAAACTCGGAACACATTAGGAACAGAAGGAGATAGATAAACAAGGTGTGCATATGAAAGTATACTTCAAAGCAGCATCACCACCATTTTTGCACAACTCGCCAACACAAAATGCTGCATTCCTTCGGTTTGTAGCATCTGCTGATGCTAATTCTTTAAGAACCAGGGACATCACAGCCTGAAATATGATTAGTGTTCTCCAATTCAGTTGCAGAACTATTGAAAGTGTGTGCGTCTGTATTGGAGAGTTAGAACCAAAAGAACCAATTAACTAGTTTTTTTCCAAAATTTTACATCAATATAGCCGCCAATTGGAGCACCCATGTGTTGAGCAACTTCTGCAAGGGTTGCAACGACCATGGTCCGATCTTGTGGTGGGCGTGATGCTTTCTGCAATTGCATGGGTTATGACATTAAACACTGCGACTAAAGCTAATCTCTAAGGCAAAGGATAGAAAAAACATGAGATGAGAGTTTGAAGGCCTATGACCAAAAAAATATTGTATAGGGGAGCATCCAAAACTTACTGCAAATTTCATCAAAGGATTGAACAGTGTTGAAAAGATGGGAGCAAAATGGGAACCCATGGCCTTTGCAAATGCAGGGAGGAGATCAGAAACAGCATCCATTAGCACTTCGTCATGTTCAGTGTCGTCGTCATCAGCCTCACTATCTGATTCTACGAGCTGACAAGCAGACTGTTCACGTAATAGAACTGAAGTGGCCTCAACAAGCTGAGTGATATCTATAAAGACGGGGAAAGCAAGTTCATTAATCCTGAATTTCATTTTAATGCCTGGAGAATTAAAGGAACCAAAATGTGCACGCTTACAGGGCTCAACAGCCATGTAACCAAAATCCTTCATGATGTCAGCAACAGCCATACAAGCTTGTGCAACAACTTCTTTATCGTCATCTTCAGTCATTGTCTTTATGTAAATTTTCATCACAGTATCTGCAAAACAAAACATTTGTAAATACCAAGATGATAGATTTATTCCACAGATTATGACCAACACGCAGAAGATAAATCTTACCAAGAACTTCCTTTATCTTTGTCATTCCCTCCTGCCAAAGAGGGGGGGAAAGATGAAGCAGTCATCAACATCAGAAATATTATAATATGTTCTAATTTCACTGAAAGTCTAAATGGACATGATAATTAAATCTTAAAATGTGTGACCTCATGTTAGGACAGCACAATCTTAACCCTACTACTTCAATGGTTTGACCTATATATTAGTTTTCGGTTGTTTACTTTTAAACAGAACTTGATACGCGTTATAACACTAACTTTAACAATATCAACAATTCAATATGTTACCAATTTCATTGAAAGCTTAAATAGATATCATAATTAAATCCAAAGATGTGTTACTTCAGCCTAGGGTAGCACAACTACTTCAATGGCTCAACCTATATATGAGTTTTCAAATGTTTATTTTTAATCAGGACTTGATGCATATTCTACTAAAAACTTTTAACAGCATCACTCCAGATTTAATAGCATTGCCACAAAAAGTAGCCACGTAATGCCTCAACTTACACATTTTCTTATAACAGTTATTGAAGTTTCACCTACTGAAAGAGACTTTGTATGTCTTATGTGAAAATAAATGTTTACGCAATGGTCCCCATCAAAAGGAATGTCACTTTGTTATTTTTTCTTCACATTCAGGTCAAGAAGTGGCAACGTCTCCTACATATTATCTTACATAAATGTAGCTTAAAAGCATTGGACGAGACTACAGTCAAGGGATATGGTTACACTACTGTAAGTCAATGTAAATATTCAGCTATCTGTCTACATATGAGGATATTGAATCATACCTAAATGTTTTATTTTTGGTGTAAAGGCCTTAAAGAGAGAGCTATAAAATAATTGGAGCATTCCACCAATACACACTAACCACATATAGATCCCTAAGAACTTTGTTGAGCCTCATGGGTTTTCTTGTTAAAACTTTATGGTCTGGATAACCCCTCAGTTCCAATCCAGGACTAGCAAGGAGAAAAGCCTGCTCAAGCTCAAAACTCAAAGAAGTTCACATCGAAGAAACTCAGAAAAGTATGTGTAACGACCCGTCGTTCCGAGAGTTATAGCCCTGTTTCCCCATTTCTGCTTCTTTATGTGTTGTTCAGCTGTGTTGAGTTGCATCGAGTTGGTAGGTTTGGGTCCGGAGTAGTTTTGGAGTGAAATGAACACTTAGTCCCTTAGTTAGAAAGCTAAGTTAGAAAAGTCAACCGGAAGTTGACTTATGAATAAACGAACTCATTGGGTGATTTTAGACTTAGAAGTGTGTCCGGAATGTAATTTGGAGGTCTGTGGTAGAATTAGGCTTGAATTGGCGAAAGTTGGAAGTTAAAAAGTTCTTAGGCTTGAATCCGAGGTTGATTTGGTGTTTTGGTGTTGTTTTGGGTGTTCCGGAGGTTCGACTAAGTTCAGGTAGTGATATATGACTTGTTGGAATTATTGGTTGAGGTCCCGAGGGCCGAGGGTGAGTTTCGGATAGGTTTGGGTTGTGTTGCGCTCGTTTTTCTTATGTTTCGACGCCGTTTCTTCAAGCATAAATAATATCATATTGAACAAATGAGCTCCGATTTCTTTTTTGATTGAAGCATTAGATCCGTATCGTAATTACGTACCTGTAGTAAAAAGAATCGTCGAATTTGGACATCGTATGAGATTTTAGGGTCATTTTACTAAGAATTAGGTTGCCAGATTTTTTTCAGAATAATTACAAAATTGCCACTGAATTCGTAATTAAAAATATGCACCATTTGCAAATATTGAAAGTTTGAAACCAACATATCTCATTCATTATAAGGTCAAATTGAGTGATTCAAAAGCCTAACTTAGACTAGAATTTCACAAGGAATCCATTGAAGGCATAAAAAGCGAGTTTCGGGATCGTTTGGCACGAGAAACGAGGCAGAATAACCGACAAAAAAATATATAAAACGAGGGTTTGTTCATTCGGTCATATTTTGAGTTGGGGAACTCGGATTTGGGCGATTTTGGGGGCGATTTTCACCATAAGGATTGGGGTAAGTATTCTCTACTCGATTTTGGTTATATTTCATGAATCCATCTTCGTTTTTGGGATTTGATTGATGATTTCAAAGTGAAATTGAAGGAGTTAGGGCTTGAGTTTTGGAGAGTTATAGGTTGGGATTTGAGGGACCAAACAGAATCCGATTTTGATAAATTTTATATGGTTAGACTCAGGAGAGGACGAGGGTTTTGATTTTGCCATTGTTGAATGGTTCCGAGACGTGGGCCCGGGGCCGGTTTTGGCCGGTTTCGGATTTTTGGCATATTTTATAGTTTATATTGTGGAATTCGATTCATTAGCCTATGTTGATAGTATTAATCTGATTATGGTTAGATTTGGAGCTTTTGGAGACCGAATCCAGAGACGAGGGCATCCCAGAGTAGGATTTTACGTTGTTAAGGTAAGTAACAGTTTTAACTCTGGCTTTGAGGGTATAAACCCGGAGAATTTGATATCGTGTGACTGTTTGGAGGTGATACGCACGCTAGGTGACGGGCGTGTGGGTGTGTACCTCGAGGGATTGAGACTTGGTCCGTCCCGTGAGGCCTCATGGCCATCATCTGTGTTTTCGTAGTTACTTGTTGTTGAACTTGTCTGCCTTCATGTTAGAGAACATGCTTAGGATTTATTCATGCTCACATTATTTGTACTCAGTCATAGAAATTATTGTACATATTTACCTCGGTCTCTATTATTTGCTAATATGCTGTGATACTTGACGTGGGCTGTGTTCCCTTATTTATTGATGATGGTGAGGCTAGTAAGGTACATGATTGAGTGAGGCCGAGGGCCTGGTTGTGAGGATATTAATACCATAGCGCGTGAGTTGTCCGTGTAGCACGTGAGTTGACCGTNGGGCTTTGGGAGCCCCTCCGGAGTCTGTACACACCCCCAATGAGCGCAGAGTGTTGAGTGTTGAGTGCGAGTGATGAGTGACACTACTGTGAGGTTGTAATTATTTGTGTTGTTGCTGCATTTATCTGTTAAACTTCTTTGTGGCATTTA